TGACTGGTTTGAAGTGAAATTTTGATGGTTTTGTATGATGGTACTACACTACTATTAATTACTACTACAATTGTACATCATAATATTGCTGGGCAAGCTTTACTTTTAAGTTTCATAAATGTCACTTTTTGTGTTGCATGAGAAGGTAAGTAGGCATGACATGCTATGTACATGTAGGTGTTCCACATCTTGGGTAATGTTGCCAACAATTCTCATTAATTAATAATATGCATTTTGTTCTTTTGAATTTCTTTTTCTTTTCTTCTGCGGTTGGTGGTGGTGGAATACTGACAACGATAAGAAACACGTATAGGCGACTTTGATCTAATTCGACCTTACTAGTGTGAGGATTAGTTTAGTGCTGTTGGGTCAGGTACATACTCGTGCGGGTCTGTATTGCTCCGAAAGGTAGAAAAATGTCTAGCATCGGTAGGATGAAATTCACCGCAACTGAGACTATTGTACCTTTTTTCACGTGGGTCAGGTACATACTCGTGCGGGTCTGTGTTGCTTCGAAATGTCAAAAATTGTCTGCATCAGTACGAAGAAATTCATCGACTATGTTACCCTTTTCACATGGGTCAGGTACATACCCATGAGGGTCTGTGTTGCTCCGAAAGATAAAAATTGGCTACATTCACCGCAATTGAGACTGTTTTACCCTTTTTCACGTGTTTCCTAATAACATCATTAGCAAAACATATACATATCATCATCAATTCATCACTTTAGCATGGTTATGATCAAATCAACAAAGACTTGTATACTTATGTTGTACATAATTATGTTTTCAAAAAGGAATGAAATATAATTGTACTCAAATTATATCAACCAAATTTATTAGTACCTTGCTGTGCCGTGGATGATGATGTATTGATATTATGAATACTTCAATGTGCCTTATGTTCTCTCATAATAAACACATAATATTATATAATATTGCATATGTTTTTCATATTTTAAATGACTTGATATATTGTTTATTAAATGTCATCACAACTGGACAATTATATATAATATGAAAGACTTATTCAGTGGTCTTAAATTACAAATAATTACAACTATATATTTTTCTTGCTATATGAGAGTTTGGTATGAATCGACTTAAATTGTGACACGATCACCCATTTGCATGTCCAAATTAACCATTTGCTATTGTCTATTGCTGCTGGATTTTTTTTTTACCATGTTTTTGTTTACTTTTATTTGACATTTTATGGTTTACTTTACGTACTCATCAACTATTGTACTTTTTGAATTTTATGTGCTTTTTATCTTGCATTATGGTTTTGTTTTGAAAGATTGATTACAAAGTGCACCATGCAGAAGGGTTCAATGACGTAAACCACCCTCAAGTCTTTGTAATTACACCAAACGGGAGATGCTACGGTCCTGTTAAGGAACCATTCTGTCGGGTTTGTAACCGTAAGATCAATTATTCCCGATAGTTACATGATGATCTAACGGTTACAAACCTCGACGGAATGATTCCGTAACGGGACCGTAGCATTTCCATACACAAACATCCAACTATCTTTAGAATTTAAATACTCTTATTATTTTGCATTTTAATCTTCAAAGTTTTGGTATTGTGCATTTTAATCTCTAATAGATGGGAATTTCTATTCTATTTGAATAAGTGGGCACTTTTATCATATATGTTCATCTTCTTTTTTTTTTTTTTTTTT